ATCGCCATCGCGGTCAGTTCTTCAAACCAGACTGTTCAAATCAAATTGTCATTGCACAGAACACCCGCAAGAAAAAAAAACAGTTCCTTTTTTTTACCTCCTTTTACCTTTGTCTTAGATAAATTTCTTAACTAAAGTATGTTAATGATATTTTCTCATTATCTGAGTGAATCATTTTCAGGTCTGTGCAGAAAATGTCACTCCCTTTCACTTCTAATAGAGTCCTCTCGCAGATCTTCTTTCTAAATGTGATTTTTTCTTCTTTTGTCCACTCCACTCCAATTAGGTGCAAATTTGAACAAAGAAGAGTGCTACTGAATAAGCGACGAGATTCAAAGAGGTACCAAAACGTTCTAGCGCTATCAATGACCCTGAATTTCTCATGAATTTTATCAGAATGAAACAGCAGGATTACGAGAAATATGACCAGCTAAGTCAAAATCAATTCCAAGCGTGAGCAAAAAGCATTGACATTCGAGAATATAGGTAAAAGCAGTCTTCCTGTCCTTTATCAGTCCCTCAGAGAAAGACAATGACCGAGATGGAAATTAAATAAATTCATGATAAAAAGGGCGAAGTCGAACTTGATCTGCAGTTAGTGGACGGTGTCCGAGATATTCGCTACACTATAGAGCCGCTGCACTCGGGAATGCTAGTTCTTTGATATTAATCGATGTGTTAATCCAAACGTTTCAAAATGATCTATTTTGTTGTGAATTAAACTGACTTAGCACATGCAAAGGCTCTGACTAGAAAAGGATCTCAATCGCAATGGTGATCTGGAACGAAATGTATATCAATGGAAGCGTCTTGTCGAAGTGAATCCAATAACCTCCCTACTTCTGTTGCAGAATTCTCTAGAAAAAGTTATGAGCGTTCAACACATCCAAATATGGCCAACGTTTAATGTCACCTTTCCAGAAATTAGAGGTTTAAAAGCACTTATTTATTTTTCTTATTAATGTGTGCATTGGCTATGGTCAGCACACTCATTACCTTGCAGATATGCATCATCCAGGTTGAGAAACGCACACCATGTATTAAGACTCAGATGACATCATTTCAATCACCCAAAGCTTCTTCTAGAGAATTCCACAGCAGATAGAAAAGGTAAATTTGAAACCAGTACATCAAGGCCAATTACACACTTTTTGAGCAACCAAATTGATTTCGGAGCGACAATATATAATACCGCTCACATTTTTTTGGAAAAAAGACGCGAATGTATGGACATGTATGGACATGTCGCTACATGTCCACACATGTCCATACATGTCAACACATGTATGGACATCACCGTCGCGTGGCCATATCTCGCTTCAGAGTGGACGAATTCTGAATCCAAAGCAACCATTCGATTCAGCTCGGCGCGGAGAATCTTCTGATATATTGCAATTGGGGGAACGATGTTTTCGATATTCCGTTTCCAGTTTTTTCAATTTGTTCTGCGGAGGTCCTTCCGCGAATATGTGAAGCAACGCCTACCCAACATAAAAAACTTTACTAAGTGCTATTCGATAATACCGTTCTTGTAGATTATTGCGCGCTAAGAAATAAGCTCTGACTTCTTTCCAAAGGAGATAGAGCGCTCACGGAGGAATTTCGACGAGATATGCGATCTTTATTTTTTGGCCAGAATTATGAGGACGTGCTTTCGTAGGCTCGTAACTCGGCGAATTTCATAGACTGGAGCTTGAGTCATGCACCATTCAATAGCACAATTCCTAGTAACTTTGACCGAGAAAAACAAGCAGGCAAGGTTTGACAGATACACAAGAAGTGCGGGCAAAGTTACGCACTTCCGCGATACAGTTACAGTCACCTCACCGGATCTCTCCAAAAAGACCCTGTAATCCTCAAAGACCACGATTTTCGTAAAGAGCGTGTTCGAAAATCTCTATAAGCGAAGTTTCCTTACAATTCAAGAGCATCAACATTTTGACCAAAATCCATCGGCGAGCTTCCGGAGCGTAAAACGAAAGAAAATAAAATAACCCGAACATATCGAAAAACTTGCTCGTGGAGGTTATGCGATCTGCTGATTTTGAAACTCACATCTGCTTAGCAAGATAGCTTCGTATCCTGCGGCTATGGCGAGTAGAATTTGGGACGACAAGATTTTTCCACAATTCACCAGCCATTCTATTTCCTTTGAAAAGAAACCTGCGGCTACTATTTAGCACATCATGATCTACAGAAAAAGTGCTATCGAAAAATCTTTGCTGGAATGTACTCGGGACAATGCTCGCTGCTTTACACCTTCGCGAAAAAACGTCCTTAGAAAGATTCAAGAATACTGAAATCGAGATATCAAGGACATGCTTTATACAAGAAGATTCGCCTTGATGCGCTGAGCAAAGCGCTGTTTTCGGATTCAAATTAACTTATTACGAAGAAAGTTGTGGCGAGTAGAATTTAAAAACGTGATTTTTCCAGAATTCACTAACGCTTCTATCTCCTTTGGAAAGAAGTCAGAGCCTATAGTGTGGACCCCGGCCAGCTTCCCCATAGGATCCTGCGCGACACACCCGCAACGCACGCCATCAGTGCGTCTCCTGTCCTAGCTTCTGATGGGAATCCTCCTTTCTCTCTCTTTTTTGTTTTTGGTGTACTATATTCTCTCTATTCAGGTAAAAACAATTCGCAACGACCGGTGACGAGATTTCACGTGCTCTGAAGTTCTGAGAGCTTCAGTCTTGTGTAGATGTCTTGTAATTTCCCTTTTTTCTCTGAAAAATTAAGATTTGGATATTAAGATAATATTCCTTCAAAAGCTTCTTGTATAGAATAAGAGTCTCTTTCGGTTTGATGTGTAAAGTGTAGACAGTGTCTCAAGTCAAAATTCAGCTTTCCGAGAAGCCAGTAGGCATTTGTTTACTGAAATGTCCAGTTTTTTTGAAATTTTTGACCGCTCTAGTTTCTAGGTCCACAAAGAGAAATGTTTTAAGAATGCTGTTGTTCTTTAATTTTTCTACGTATACTTATTACAACCTATTCATCAGTGCAAGTTCGAAATATGCATCCATTGATTGAGTTTGAGGTACTCATGGAGGCTGCCTGCGTTTCGTTCTTGCATACGTTCTTTCGAAGTATCTACAGTTTTCCACTTGACATTTTTTTCCTTTGTGAGCATAAATGTGCTCTACTGCTCATGAGTGAGGCGAGAAGCATTACAGTCTGCCCCAATCCCAACCAGGCCAAAATTGGCATGGCGGGAACCCGTGTCGCGAAGGTATTGCGTCACGTCTACGGCTAGCCAGTCTGCTCTCTCTTCATATCTTCGCTCTCTGCGACCGCGCACGTATAAAGCGCAGACCCCTAGCGTTGCGAGCGCGCAAATTCAGCCGGCGGTTCGGCCTGATCCCGATTGGGGCAGACTGTAAGAAGGGCGCGCGCTGCGTGCGCGCCGCGGAAGTACCTCTGGGAACCCGGCGGGAGCCACACTATATTTCTTAGCGCACAATAGTCTACAAGAACGGTATTCTCGAATAGTACTTAGTAAAGTTTTTTATGTTGGGTAGGCGTTGCTTTACATATTCGCGGAAGGACCTCCGCAGAACAAATTGAAAAAACTGTAAACGGAATACCGAAGACATTGTACCCCCACTTGCAATATCTTATATATAAAGCTGAATGTCTGTTTGTCTGTATGTCTGTCTGTCTGTCTGTATGTCTGTCTGTCTGTACGTATGTTCCGAATAGAAAATTCCATTTCTGAACCGATCCGGACCAAACTTGGCACACATACACGACGGGCCCCGGCGGGTGTCATTGGCTACTTTTCGTCATCGATCGATATCGATTTTATCGATTTTTATCGATTTTTTTGCTGAGTTCACCTACGGGGCTGGGAGTTGGCACAGGGGGGTAACCGAGCATGGGGATTCCGAATACAATATTGGTTTTCAGAATTATCGATTACTTTTATTGATTTTATCGATTTTTTTGCAAAGTTTGAGCTACGGGGCTGGGATTTGGCACAGGGGGGTAATCGAGCATGCTGATCATCCCCAAGGGGGGTGATCAGCATGCTCGATTACACCCCTGTGCCAAATCCCAGCCTCGCATGTCAAAATTTACAAAAAATCGAGAAAATCAATAAAAGTAACCGATAATTCTGAAAACTAATATTGTATTCGGAATCCCCATGCTCACTTCCCCCCTGTGCCAACTCCTAGCCCTGTAGGTGAACTCTGCGAAAAAATCGATAAATATCGGTAAAATCGACATCGATCGATAACGAAAAGTGGACTGTGACACCCGCCGGGGCCCGAAGTGTATGTGTGCCAAGTTTGGTCCGGATACGGCGGAGCCGGGTAAGCCAGCTAGTATCATTATATACCCCCACTTGCAATATACAACCCAGTGGGTTCGCGAACCCAATGGGTTCCAGCAGCTTCTCCGCGCCGAGCTGAATCGAATGATGGCTTTGGATTCAGAATTCGTCCACTCTGAAGCGAGATATGGCCACGCGACGGTGATGTCCATACATGTATTGACATGTATGGGCATGTCCGTACATGTCCATACATGTCCATACATTCGCGTCTATTTCAAAAAATGTGAGCGGTATTGTAGGCTACAGAAACCACTACAAAACCAACGTCAAACCAATGTCAATACGCAGCACTCAAACTCAAGTACTTTATCTGGTTCCGAATAACCATTAATATTCAAAATCTTACAACCGAATGAGAGTTTATTGCACGTTTCTGGCGGTAAGTACAATATCTTGAATCTTTGTGCTTACCAATTTTTCAGGTCATATCCATTATATCAGCCAATTATTGCAGTGTTGATGGAAGGTTCAGCCAATTCTTAGCGCGTGCCACGCAGCCAGATGGGGTTGGTTTCAAACTTAATTATCTTGATTCGCACTTATGCCAGAAAATCTCAATAGAACACTTACAATTTCCTAGTAAGCAAAAGATTTGTACAGATGTGTAACAAATGTAGAAGATGATTTTAAACTATCTGTTAGCCATGCAGGTGGCATCTTGTCTGTGTGCTGAGATGGCGAAAAAATACGCACTTGTCAATAGAGCACCTTCAGACGGTTTCAAATTTGAACTCGCAAAGTATGTTGAAGTCCCCATAGCTTATTATTTTCTTCCTCTATGACTGTATAAAATAATTACAGCGCTAAATTAGCGAGGTTTCTACAAAGACTGAGAGCGGAGATAATTAAGGTAAGAATGAATACATTTTGACTGTTTTTTACGCATTGTGGCATCTCCAAAAACCCAGTTGAACTAAAACGCACCTCTTTTGAAAACTGTGGTCAACGGCAAATTGATTCACATATGTGTAAACACTTATCACATCCTTATAATCCTTCTCGTCACAGGAAAAAAAACAAAGCTAACCAATAAAGTAGGAATCGAGGCATTTTTGTGATTACACATCGCAGCATGCTCTAATTTGGTTCAAGCAAAACGCAGCTTGAATATTTTTCGGTATTCCCCGTGGCAACTGGTACCACTTTTCAAGACCATTAAAGGATGATTTCCCATAGTGTATTTAATTTTGCGGGATAGAGGAAGTCATTTACAGCAAAGAGAAAAAGTGATTTGAGCTTGATAATTTGAGTTAAGTCATCAAAAATTTAAAGATTGCGATAAAGAGCAAGCAGTGTATGAGTCTTATTATCCACCTTCTTTAACTGTGCAAGTTTATGTTAATTAAGCATTTTTACAAATTTCGAAACTCGTGTTCTCGGAAAAATGCTCAATTAGCGCAAACTTTGCACAGATGAAAAAGGTGGATAGCAATTGCATTACAGCTCGCTCCGAATTTTACCGCTAGTTTCAAGTTTTTAGCCACTTAACCTGAAAAAACAAAAGTTGAAGTGTTTATTCGTCTGCTTCTATCTCAAAGGCTTCCTGGGACAGGAAATACACTATTATGAAAAATGATTTTCTCTAAACAGCAAAATTAGGTATAGGCAAACTGGCGAGAAAACAACAAGTTATGACTTCTCAAAAACGGTGCGCCAGATAAAATTTAGGGTTGTAACAAAATCCGCTTATGTAAATCACGTGTCTGCCAAAAACTTAAATGCAGCTTCAAGAGCTTCATTGTCCTTTTGATGTAACAAATAATCACTTCGTGCGCCTCCTCCTTAATAGAGCAATCATTTGCAAAAAAATTTTACTCTTTCATTAGAGTGCATTCGTCACAATCGACTATTAAGCAGAACATCAAACAACTTCTATATAGTTTGCCAAGACAGTCAGTTTCAGGCAAAGAAGTATGGTGGTTCTGGGAGATTTGGATGCGCTGTCGTAAGCAAATATGGCCATGCGCTTGCCGTTTGTTATGTTCCTCAAGATAACAGATGTTAGATGATATTCTCTTGTTTTGTAAATCACGTGTCGAACGAACTGATAAATTCCTGACAGCAACATCTGGTCTTGCAAAATCTCAGCTAGCTTCATTGTGTCAACATATGAAAGATTACCGTTTATTGCTTTTTCACCTTTAAAGGCAGTGTTCCAGCAGATTTTGCATATCCATGTTTTTGCATGTTCTGAGCCTTTTCGACCGGTAGACCCCGATGTGCTATAAAACGGTCGAAAAGACCATTTTCGGGCTTTTTACCCGATTTTCAAAAGGCAGCTCGGACGGAATTTTAATGGAAAGTTGGGAGGTCCTGGCACGAAAGCCCTGCTGACTGGAATTTTTGCTTTGGATAGCATGCAAACTGCGAGAGAGCGGTCGTAGCGTCCCGCGCCAAACGGTAAGCGAAGTCGTCCGAACGCGCGCCGATTGAGGTTGCGAGCGCCGGTTCAAGGGCTATTTACTCGGCCCAGGAGGAACATCAACGCGCCGGACTGCGCCTAGAGTCAGTGGGATGATCAGGAACCCCACTATAGCAATATTCCTCAGGGCGCGAATCTGCCGGGACACTGCCTTTAATGCCTCTTCACAAAAGACAGCATGTGCAGGTAGGAGTTTCCTTTATTGTGCAGCTGTTGAAAACAGTGTTTGGGAAAGCTTGGAGGTCCTAGATTTTCGCTATGCAAAAGTGGACATACTCGCCATGATGTCGCGCAAGTGCGAAGCCACAGGTTAGAGTAGACGCAAGGATTACGATGGAAGGTGGAAAACATTACGCTCTAATGGAAAGGCTTTGCTTACCCGTAATTTGTCTCATCAGCGGCAAAATGCACAAGCCGCGATAGTCGCCACAACCGCCGCTGATCTATGTGTATATGTGACATCGTGGAGATGTTTCTACACTTTTTTATTCAGACCCTATCCTTTCTAGGTTGTTACGCAAATGGTGTACACGAGAGCGGGCACTTTTCACTGTTACTGTCCTTTGCTATACTTTGGAGCAACGGTGACCTAGGCACCACATAGGATAAAAAAATGGATTGTGCTTTTGGTAGGGGTCATAATAAGATGCGAAGGAGTAACCTGGCTGATTTTGATCTGAATGGGCATATTGAAAGGGCCATAATTTTCTTATGGGTGGGGCGTTCGGCTCCAAAGTTCCAATGTAGCAAGAAGAAGCTATGTGCTCGATACTCATACCAGCAACGGAGCGCTTTCTGGATTTTGGAGGCAAGTTAAGGGGGTGTGCCGCGCCCCATTAACTATATCAAAAAAACATTTTTAGCGGACAATATTTATATGAATCGATAGCCTGAACCTTGTAGATTCCATAGGAGTGTTTGGGTCTGATTTGTCTTCTTAGTTCTAAGTAATATTTGGTGAAAGCACAGCGATCAAAAGCGAAAAATGGGAAAAACGAGATTTTGGTTGGCTTCTAATTCCACTGTTTGCAGGTCTTCTGAAGCGAGACTCCTGATGTGGACAAAGAAGGAGTAGTGCTTTGTCGTGAGTGCAAAAACGGATAGCTAATTCACCTTCAAACAAAGTTAACCATGTTGGAATTTGACCATTTCATTTAGGTAGCCTAGTATCTTAAATCTTCAGAATTCGCTCACACTTTGTCTACAGGGGTTATTTGACATGCTAATTATGGATATGATACGAATATCATGTTATCACTATTATCAGATTACCCAACTACGACCCCCTCCCCTTTTGACTCCTCAATACGACCCCCCAGGTGTGGCGTGCCGCACCCCACGCTTGACCCTGGGAGTAACCTATTTGATTTAGATGGGACATCAGAATGAGGTCAGGAGAGGTAACCCAAGTACCGAGTTTATAGATTTCCGTTGCTGGTTTGAAGGTACAATTAGCAGATGTTGCGACAAAAGAATCTGATGGCATTTGTAGCCAAAGCAGTTTCCGCAGTTGATCCTGAGGGTTGGGCCAGACTGTGCGACTTACGCGAAGTCCGCAGCGTACATCTCTATCTTTATGCACGTCGCGTACGTCGCGCACACTGCTAAGTTTGGTCCAACCCTAACGAGTAAGAATATGTGCAGTAACCTCTCGCACCTTAACCTCTATACGCACTATCCCAAGCGAACACTTTGCGGCACAGACGGCTGAAACATGAAAGCAGTCGTTGAATTCGTACATCAAAAGAAGCCATCAAAGTATAAGCCTTTGTCAGGTTCTATCTGAAACCTTGTCTTCTTTAAAAGGAGTGAAGCTCACGAGCTTAACCTAGTAAAAATAAGGACGCACATATGTGAAGGATTTCTGCCAAGGCCCTTTGCTAGCTTGCGCATATAATATCCAACAACTAAGTCACCGTGGTGAAGTCGGAATACAGGTTTATAAGGGAGTGACATTGATGAAAACAAAAATGAACATCTTTATCACATAAACGTCTCCACCAAGTTTGAGATTTACAATTTGCTGAAAAAATGGCAGTGATAGATAGATTCCAGTGGCGTACCGAAGAAGGTGTGAGAGACGCCCCCCCCCCCCCCTCTCCAAGAATGGGTTGCGAAATTTCAAAAGTTACTTAGACGAGTTATAAAAATGTGCAAGCTACTTGTTTATACTTGTAATTAATTAAAAATAATTTTAGAGATTTTATAGGAACTCGCTTTAGCCCTATAAAAATCTTCTTCGGGGGGGGGGGGGGCGGCTAACGTCATGCACTTCCATCAGAAAAAATTTTTGTCGCCTTCCCTCCCCCCTCCCCCGGAATGGAAATCTTGGGTACGCCACTATAAATTCATAAAATTTAGCAGCTTGAATTGTGTTCAAGCAGTACTACCGCCTAGGACCGCTTGTGAAATGAGTACTGCCCTGGGACAAACTCACTCCACGAGCTTTCTTTGCACTGAATCTAGGGATGACTTCCAGCTTTTTGTCGGTCTTTCAGATCTATTGTAGGTGTACTGTAGATGGCAGTATGCCTAATTATAGTTGAAAAATCCGGGCTGGTCCGTAAAAAGCCTTGGTCCCAGAGGGCAGACAACGAAATATTTGCAGGTCCTCAATGTGTTAAACTTCGGAAAGTTCTCAGGCTATTGCGACATCCCTTTCTTTTCAGAGGCGGATCGATAACACATATCTCGCACAGATTCTCAAAACATTACCTTTTAGGTGAAGTTCCTGCGAATGTTGATCTCGGAAAACTTGATGATGAAAAACCTCCAGAGTTGTCATCTTCCAAGGATGTATTTGGTGAAATTCTGGCAAAGCAAGTGCAAAGCAGCCAGAAAAAAATAGCGAGCTAAGCCAAATAACAGTTTCAATCAAACTGACATCTTTGAGCGATATGATTCTGAATTGAGAAATTCAATAGTAATTTAAGAAAAAGATCGACAGTTTGATAAAAATTTTGACTTACTTATGTGATTGCCGACGAGCTGGGATAGTGATAACAGCCATGGATGAAGAATGGGGGATAATCAGTAGAGTATAGAGCAACCAGTAGCACGAAGTTCAACGAGACATTTCAATTTCAATGGAGACCGAAAAACAAGAAAACATTGATGAACATATTGCGAACAATCTCGACACTTACTCTGATAATTTACAATCTCGGCGGATAAAACGAATATGTACAAAAGTGTGCTGCACTAACAGCTGAAGTCAGAGAGATTCCCTAAAAAGCTAGAATCGGTGCTGGCCATACCACAGTCTGATACCAAAATCCCATGTCCTTCCAAAGTAAAGCCAAGTGGCGCCCTCTTTTCCACCCTAACCTCTCAAACGTGATGCACATTCAAAAAATAAAATAAAAGAATAACCTCTGATCACAAATCTTTATCACACTGATAAGATTGTTGCTCCTAGATTTGGCAGAATCATATTCCAATACAGACGACACAAAACAAGCCTCCGACATTTGCTTTGATCGTGGTGAAAAACAATTTCGAATAAACTGGGGCACCATTGTGTAAGCCGGTAAGCAACACTAACAGCAAAGAGGAATTGAGGAGTTGACAAGGTTTTCTAAACGTAGACTTGTAAATTACCTTGAAATCGTGTGTAGGGTAAAAATTAATTGAAAATACGAAAGTTCCATTTCAAATGATCATAAAAATTGGCGAAACTTACTTCGAGTAGTCTTCGAGAACTTCATTTCATTGCTCCGAAGCGAAAACTTTCCTGGCAAAGTCTTTCTCATGAAACGAGAAACCACTCTCGCATATGGAAAGAGTTGCTAAACAAATGAAAATTGGATTCGGAGTTAAACTTTTCGACAGTCGGGTAAGGACCCATTCGTATGGTAGTCCGAAGACGCAACGCTAATGTTAAAATGGAGTAATAGAAGAAGTGTAATAATATAGTGACCTAACGGAACTAACGCATTACCTCAGATACGCTTCTAAGACAAGAAGCGCATCAACAATCATTGATATAGTGCTCAATGGTAAAATCACAATGCAATTCCCACGTACGCCGTCTTTTTGGCAAACTGTATTCATGTGTAAACTAAAACCAATAAGCGAACGTAGTCCACGACCGACGCAAAGTACAAGCACAAAATAGTGGCTACTAACATCGGCAGCATCGTTAACAAGGAAAGTGTGGCCATGGCCACAAAAATACGGTCATATGTTGCATGTTGGTACGTGTTGCACGCCGCGACATGCATGTGACGTTGCACGACGCGACACGACAACGCGTTGCGTGTGGCTACATGTTGCACACGTTGTTGCGTGTGGCGACATGTTGCACACGTTGTTGCTTGAGCAACATCGTGTGGATGTTGTTGCGCTTGGCAACATGTCGCTGACATTATTGCGCGTGGCAACATGTCGCTGGCATTATTGCGCGTGGCAACATGTTGCATGTGAACATGTTGCGTGTGGCAACATGTTGCATGTGACAATGTTGCGTGAGGCAACATGTTGCATGTGGCAATGTTGCGCGTGGCAACATGTCGCTGGCATTATTGCGTGTGGCAACATGTTGCATGTGACAATGTTGCGTGTGGCAACATGTTGCATGTGACA